GGAGCAGAGCTTGGTCAAGGGCAATACTGACACAGTTGCCAGAATGAGGCCAAGAAGCTGCTGAATCTGGGGAGCTGACACAATGCTGTGGCTTGAGGCTGTCTTGATTAATCTGCTGCCCTAGAGTCTGGGAGATACACTGCCATTTTGATAGAGTCCATGCATGCCCCAGTGAAAAGGTTAGATTGGAAGGGGAAAGAACAGATTTTTTTTATTTTCTGAATTTATACAAAAGTCCAGTCTCTCCAGAAGATTGCACATGGTGTAAATCGCTGCAAGAAATTCTAGTATGGTTGCAGCTACCAACAACGTCTCTCTCCTGACTTGGAAGCTAAGAAAATGTCTATGGCAAGGAGCTATAGAAATGTGCAAGTAAGCATTCTTGAGGTCAATAGTTGCAAGTAAATCACCTCGCTAGAGGAGGGGCAGGATGCCCTGTAAAGTAACCATCTGGAACTTTTTTATCTCGCCAAAAAAGTTAAGTTAAGCTCTCTTAGGTGCAGGACTGGACAAAGCCCTCCAACCGGTTTGTTACAGTGAAATGACCTGAGAAGAAGTCACAGTGAGCAGAAGAGGTGAGGATCCACTCAATCACCCCTTTTGATAGAAGTGAGTGAGTTTCCTCCATTAGTGTTAAAGATGGGCAGAAGGGTATCAAATATGATTCTGTAACCTCTCTGGATGATAGACAGCACCCAGGTGTCTGATGTAATTGCCTGCCACACAGGAAAGTGGGGAGAGAGATGGTCCCAAATTTCAAGAACAGAGTGGGGTGGCATGGAGGGAAGCAAGGAGCCAGCCCATAGAGACAATAATCACCTCCTTCTCCTGTCTGTAACTCCGCCTTGGGCCTTCATGGTACCTGAAGGCATTATTCTTCCACTTACAAAAAGGAGGCTGCCATTGGCATTGCACTCCATATGTTTGGGGGCAGGGGAAAGAGGAACTTCCCTGCTCAAACCAGTTATGTGGCCTGGCAGTGGAGTATTGGAAGAACCTCATTCTCCAAACCTTGTGGATGCTGTCCATGCATTGGTCTGTCTTTGCACTTAAAAGCCTATCCCCATCGAAGGGCGGGTCCTTGATATGGGTGTGGGCCTTCTGTGTGAGACTGGACAAGCACAGCTATGCATTCCTTCTTGGTGCTGCTGCAGCAATCATTGCCTTGCCCTACAACCCATCCAATGTCTGGCAGCATTTATTTGTATCCTTGAAAGCACAGGGAGTCCAGTTTCTCCAGTAAGAAGAGTTGGTACCTTGCCATGGTAGCCAACCATAGAGTTAGACTTGGGGTGTTGGAAGAGGAAGGCTGCATCCTTCTCCTGCACATGGTACGTTCCCTCCAAACATGTTGTTGGATCCATTGATGAAGGGGCCTTCCAGCACTATTGAGCAGTCTGGAGGAGGGTAGGAAGGTAAGGGATTCCTTACTTTACCAGCCTTACCATGAAAGATTAGGTTCAATATTTTCTCAAGTTGTAGCTGTGTCTGGATACTGAGGATTTGCACCATACACTGGATTGGTGTTGCCCAGGTCCACCAATGGTGAGGCAGGGTTTACAGTAGCCAGAGCTGCATCTGGAGAAAAGGAGTTGGGATGGACAGTTGGAGAGGTGTCCCCATTGGGCTCATAATCCTCAATGAACATCAGTAAGGATGGGACAGAGACAAGTGGTGCAGGAGAGCTTGATTGGTGGACTGGTGCAGCAGCAACAGGAGGTTCCACAGGATGACAGAACTCTTGGATTGCAGAAGCTGGCTAGGATGGTATTGATGGGTTTGGTTTGGTGGCTTCCCAAAGATATCAGACCAGAGTCTACTGAGGGTTGTACGTGGGTCCTTGATGGTAGAGAGTTGAAAAAGTTCCAAGATGATTGTGGTACTGGTGAAATCAAATGCCTGTCCCATTCAGAAATCAGGGAGTGGAAGAATTCCCTGTAGACCTTGGTACCAAACAACTCCAGTGATCAAACTGGGAATGGTACTGTGGATGTCCTCAAGACCATGGTGCATGGTAGGCATCAAGACAGTGGTGTGTCCTGGATTTCACCCTCTGACACTGATGCTGAGACAGACTCAGGTCTTGGTACTGGTGTTAATCTCAGTAGCATGACAGAGGCAACCACAGGCAGTTCTGCAGCAGGTGGTACCAGGCACGGCTCCATCTGATACCACTTAGATTTCCCTGCATGGTCTTCAGAACCCCTTTTTTTACCCATTTTCCCAGCTTCTTGGTCTTTTTATGCTTCACCATTTTGCTTGGAGTAAGGAGCAGTGAAGGGGCCACTGAGAGACTCAGTGAGTGAGAGAGAGAGAGAGTCATGGAGTGGTGGCTGTAGCACATGGCATGGACCTGCCAGAGTGGAGAGAGGCCACCACAGATGGGCAAAAAGTCTCAGGCAAGCCTGAGGGTTCTACTGTGCTAAGGGCCTTGATCCACTATTCTGTGTGGAGATGATGGGCCCTTTGCTTACACCCTGCCTTAGAGAAGGTCTGGCAATGCAGGCATTGATCCACAACATGCTCCTTTCCCAGGCACAAGAGGCACAAAAAATGCCCACCACCTGGGGGCAGCCTGGCATCACAACAGACACATTTATTGAAGGGAGCCTTCAATGCCATCAGGAAAAGAGGCAGAAGGCCAAGTACAGAAAGAAAAGAACAAGGGGAGATGGAGATAGATAGGGAATAAAAGAACTTTTTTTTTCTTTTTTAAGCTAGGCATGAGAAACAGAGGAGAAAATCCACAAGGGGTTTGAGAAAAGGGGCAAAAGAAAGACGTGTGGCAATATCAAGGAAAAATAAAGGCAGGATTTAAAAAAAAAACCCTCTCTGAACAGAAAGAACAGGAAAGAACTTGCTAAAGTGTACTGAAGGTTGTAAGAGAAGAACCGAAGGAAATGGCGGGAGCCCCTTCCTTATATATAGGCACCAGGATGGGGGAAGGGTTCCCACCAAAATACTCTTAGCTGCTAAGTCTTCCCAGTAACAGGCTCCATGCAGGCACAGAGCCCATATGTGTGATGCACTGAGACCATGAATAATGACTTCTCCTCTTTCCCTCCCTTTCTAACTTACTCTCGTAGTAGCTCCTTCTGTTTGAAAGGCTAAAAGACGGGAATGCTGGACACTTCTTGTTGGTCTGCTCATTTTGCCTGTCATCTCCTGACTGTGTCAAGGAGCTCCCCTTCAATCCCCACCCCCACCCCATCCTGAAACGTCTACCTCCTTTTCCAGTTCTCATCCTGTCTGGGAATCTTCACTGGGTAATCTTGAAACTGCCATCTGACAGATCTTTCTGAGCACACTGCAATATGCAACAGTTGGGCCCCTGCTCTACAGTAGAGATATGGTCTGAGCAGGAAATCACAAAACCAGTTTTCTGCTCCAACACCCATTCACAGAAAGCAAAGTTATGAGCCTTAGAGACAAGTAACTTGATCAAGCAGCTGCATAAAAGGCAGAGGTAGAAACCCCATAGAGCATAATAAAATACCCATTTCAGAGAAGGCAAATTGGGGGTGCTCAGAGAAACACACACAGACACATCAAGGCAAAATACACACTACACCAAAGCAAATGGACAAGAAAGTAATATTCACCATAGCAAAACAAACATGGAAAATCAGGAAACAAGCATGTGAGTACGCACATGCAGGGCCCATGCATAAAAACATAAGAAAGCCATGCTGAATCAGACCAATGGTCCATCCAGTCTAGCACTCCATTCACCCAGTGTCAAATCAGCTGCCCACAGGATCCCTGAAGCAAGAAGGGTACAAGAGCTCTGCCTGCCCAAGCTCCTCAGCAACTGGTGTATGTAAGGTATGCTGCTTCAGGTAATGGAGGCAGCACACTGCCAGCAAGGCTAGTAACCACTGATACTCACTGAAGGGCAACATGCCCTCTCTTTCTCTGCCACTCCTCCTAGATCCCCAAGAAGCTATCCCCATCCTCAAGCCTTCCACACTGCTCCATGTCACCTTCGCCCTCGTTGGTCTTTTTTTCTTCTGATTGGCTGAGCATGCTTCAGAATTAAGTGCTGGGCTGAACCACGCACCATTGTTATTTTGTAAAATCTCCTTTGGGGCTTATAAAGGTATTCTTGAAAACAAAGGTGTTCAGCTTCCCAATATAAAAATAAGAATAATACACTGACTTCCCAGTTTAAAAGGAAGTTATTTTTGAAATTTTTGTGGAAAAAATATGAAAGACTGGAAGCCTGAACGGTCCAGGGAGAGTTGTCCACCAGCACATTGGTATTTATTGGCACCATGTTGGGAAACCTAGCAATACAGCAAAATATGGATCAACTGCTGCGAAAATATGAGGATTACAGCTGGATACTGATGTCAACTGGAAACCTACCGCCTTCCTGGTAAAATGTGAGAGAACATAGCAAGGACATTCCACAACAGGGGTCCTCAAACTTTTTCATCAGGGGGCCAGTTGAAAGGTGCTGGCGCGGGCCGGAAAGGTAGTGCCAGCGGTGCACGTGGGCCGGCGAGGGGGCAAGGGGGTGGGGAGCCAGCATGTGTGGGTGTGTGGACTGAGATGGGGGTGGGGCGTGGGGTGAGGGGAGGCGGGGTGGGCACGCGTCACGAGGTGGGCGCATGAGGCAGTGCTTGGAGATCGTTGCTTGCTTGCTTGGAGATCGTTTTCTCCAAGTGAACAAACCACTGCCTCCCCATGCATGGGGCAAGGTGGGCGGCTGCGGGTGCAGTGGGTCCAAATGGGCATGGCGGGCTGGATAAATGGGCATGGCAGGCCGAATCCAGCCCCCCTGGCCGTAGTTTGAGGACCCATGTTCCACAATAAATACTTCATCTGGAAGCAGCCACAGAAAGATGTGATACATTAAATTTTTATTTATAAAGTATTTATGAATGCCTGAACTAGCTGATCTAGGGTATTTACAACCTTTATATAAGAATATAAAGTATATATTTATATTTTTACTTTGTAATATAAAGTAACTAGAATATATATTTTGTACTTACCATTTATGAGATCTTCAATTTTTTCTCCTTGCATATTATATAAGCACTTTGCTGGTGAAGTAAGATTCAGTTTCATGGTACAAATATCTAAAAACTTGACAAATTAAAAAATAGTCCCATTAAACAATCAAACCTTAAAATCATATTCAGAGGAATACAGCTTAAATATATTTGGTCAACACTGTGTGATTACACATTTAGTTTTTAAATGAGAAAGCAACCCTTTTGGATGAAATGCCATCTTCCCTGAAATACCTTAATTCTGTCTATGATTTGTTCATCCAAGCCCCTGTGGTCTTGACCCTTGTCCTTCTTCACTAATTACAGTCACTAGATCTGGCTGGTGGATGAAATTGATGCCTCCCTGTGAGGTGGTCAGCTACCAATCTCTTTAAAAAGAAATAGTAGTTCAACCTCTCTTGAAGATCCAGAGGACTTCATAACTTTAGTCTATTGACCAATTTTCCTTTTTTGGCAAGGTGATTCAGCAGTTGTTGATGGCCAATTTCAGGCACTTCTAAGTGGCACAAATTATATGGACCCACATCATTCAAGTTTAAGGCCTGGTTTTGGGGTGAAGAGTTCCTCTACACCTGGCCCTTCCCAAAATATCTGAATCACTCTGTTGCACTTGAACTGTATAAACTGACACTCCTGTTTGGCACTGGTGCAAACTCACTCTAGATTTCAGCGCCTCTCATTATGAATTGCTTTATCCATTCGACTAAACTAAAATTGGACAATTTTAGAGCAGAAAGATTAAGGTTATAATGGTTTAGTTAAAAATCAGCATAAAACTGCAGGGTACAATGATTTGTGCCTAGCAGTTTGGGGTATCTGAATTTTTTTTTAAATTACAACTGAATTTCTACTCTAATCATAGAACAAAATAATAAATAATAAGGCCAAAGAGAAAAGGCTCATTTTCACATATTTAGGATTCCTGCATTACCGTTTACCTTTTCAATTTGATCTGGAAGTGTGGGTAGCTCATAACCATCCTGCCCAACACCATTCTTAAACACCATAAGTCTAACTGCAGGCTTCTGTGTAAGATTTTTCATGCGTTTCGAAAGCACGGGCTTGGCATTTCTTCTCTTGCCACCTTTAGGAAAGACTAGGCCATTCAGTGTCCAAGTTGAGTTCTTCATTAACAACAGATGGTCTGGAAGGAAAATGGTAAAGTCAATATTTGGCTTCAGAATTAAAGCGAACACATCATGCTCCCTTTCCCCTATTACCTTAATAACACACTGGCTGGTATCCATATAAAAGCTGGTATTTTTGGAAATACGTCCCCTTCTTCCCACAAACCGTGACATAAGCTGTAGCAAGCTGTCTCTACTGATAGCCTGCATAAATCATCATTCCTGAAGGGAACAGATGTTCAGGGTATGAAAGAGTAATACCACAATTTAGTCATAATTAAAATTCACCTTAGCATGCCTCTGTAACTGATCAGAAAGGAATATTTTATTTCTCATCCACAAAAATAAAAGCATTTCTTCACCTTTGCTTCGTGACAGCAAAGGTTCTTGTCTATGGTCTTTAACCCGCATATGCTTTGATTCACATTGCTGACAGTGTATCCCACAAATGATCGTTTAACAGTTGGCTTCCCAATTTTTCTTCTCCATAGGTCTGAATGAATGACCCTCTACATAACATCTAAGAAGAGAGTCTATAAATTAAAAGTATGGATATTTGAATGTTTAACTCTTCACAGAGAATAAAACTACCTTGAGAATTAATATGGCAAAATTCAGAAAACAAATGTAAATAGTAGGAATGGATGGGGCAGAAAAAGATGAGACATTTGCTACCAATGATAATCCCAGGAGTTCATCCCAGTACTTTCCCAAGCCACTATGTGTAAGAAGGCCAAAAGCCACAGTATGGAAATACCTTCATTAGGAACAACTTCACTGTCAGAAAGCTCTGTGCAATCTTTTGAGATTTCGAGAACTCTTAATCAGGCTAAACATTAAATTGGGTGGGTGCAGCATCTGAACCATGTTGCTGTTGCACCAAAGTTTGCAGCTTATAACAGTTTTAGATAGCATATAGGTAGTGCTGTGCAAACAATAAGCCTTGGGATTAACCTTACTAGTGTAAAACAGATTTCAGAATGCACCAAGGTTTCCTGGGACAAAGAAGGAATAATAGTTGTTCCCCCATTTTAAAAAAAGATACAACTAGTTTCTTCTCCAAGTCCTATTAGACTTGGAGACAAACACAGTTGCTTTTATACTGCCAAAGTTGGAGATTAATTTTAGGTAGTGTGCTATACTGAAACAATAGCTTCAGGAGGCTTAGTTTAAAAATAGAAAACATTGTTCAGTATTCAGCAACTTGAATTTTCCTGAGAAATGCAATTTTAATGCTTTTAAGCTATACTAAAACTGCCCTGGAAATCTACAAATGGAAGAACTGCAACTGTCAAAAAGATGAAGATGTATGCAGATAAAACACATTACATTTGTTGATACAATGCACTAGATGTTAAATCTTCCCACACATATTATTTCACAGTAGTTCATTTTCAATGGGACAAATGTTCAGCTTTGGCAAATAAAGATGGATTTAATATGTGTAAGGTGGATAGGAGCAAATTATATAGCACAATATGCAATCACACTTTCAAAGAAGATAAAATGTTGCCTGCTTGAGAACAACTTAAACACTGTGTGATTTGGGCAGAGATTAGAACACAAAAGTGAGATTTAGCTAAAAGAACTGGTTCATCTAGTTGATCCTAGTCATGACTAAGGCATTTTGAAATCAACAATAGTCTATTTACTTTTGACTAATTGCTTCCATTCAAGTCAGTATGTCATAGAAACAGTTTGCTTACTGTGAACATAAGAATACAAGAAGAGTCATGCTGGATCGAACCCGAACCCTAACCCCAACCTTTGGAACAACAAAATTAACTACAGTACAGCAGGTGCAGGCTAGTCACAAGGAAGAATTTCCTGACTGTGAAAGCAGTAGGACAGTGGAACCAGCTGCCAAAAGAGGTTGTGTGTTCTTCCACACTAGATGCGTTCAAGAAGCAATGAGGCAGTTATCTGATTGGGCTGGTGTAACTGGCATCCTGCACTAGTAGGGGGTTAGACTTGATGGCCTTCTTGTTCCCTTCTGACCTGACTGTTCTGTGAATCTGTGAAACCCTAACACTAAACCAGCATTCCCTTTACACAGTGGCCAACCAGGTGCCCAGGGGAAATACATAAATAGGACAGCAAATAGTTCCCGGCAAATAGTGTTCACAGGTATACAGCCTCTGATACCAAAGGTAGCATACAACCATGAAGACTAGTAGTCATTGATGACCTTATCCTCCATGAAATATGTCCAATGTTCTTTGAAAACCATCCAACCTGTGGTCAGCCTGTGGAAAAGAATTCCATGTTTAATTATGTGCTGTGAGAAGAAGCATTCTATTATTCCTGAATCTCCCACTAATCAGCTTCATGGGATGCTTCTGGGTTCTAGTATTATGAGAGAAGTAGTAAAAACTCTCTCTCTCCATTTTCTCCATGTCATGCAAAATTTTGTATATCTGTAACATGTCTTCCTTTTGGTACTGTCCATGGGGTTTTCATGGCAAAGATACTGGAGTGGGTTGCCATTTCCTTCTCCTGTCTTCCTAACGGCAGAAAGTGAAGAGGAACTGAAGAGCCTCTTGATGCAGGTGAAGGAGGAGAGCACAAAAGTTGGCTTGAAACTCAACATTAAAAAAATTAAGATCATGGCATCTAGTCCTATCAATTCCTGGCAAATAGATGGGGAAGAAATGGAGGTAGATTTTATTTTCCTGGGCTCCAAGATCACCGCAGATGGGGACTGCAGGCAAGAAATTAAAAGACGCTTGCTCCTGGGGAGGAAAGCTATGGCAAATCTAGACAGCATACTGAAAAGCAGAGAAATCACCCTGCCAAAAAAGTGCATATAGTCAAGGCTATGGTTTTCCCAGTTGCAATGTATGGCTGTGAAAGTTGGACCATAAGGAAGGCTGAACACCGAAGAATTGAGGCCTTTGAATTATGGTGCTGGAGAAGACTCCAGTGAGTCCCTTGGACTGCAGGGCAATCAAACTGGGCAGTCCTAGAGGAGATCAACCCTGACTGCTCTTTAGAAGGCCAGATCCTGAAGATGAAACTCAAATACTTTGGCCACCTAATGAGAAGGAAGGACTCATTGGAGAAGACCCGAATGCTGGGAACAATTGAAGGCAAAAGAAGAAGGGGATGGCAAAGAATGAAATGGCTAGATGGACTCCGGGGGATGGTGGAGGACAGGAAGGCCTGGAGGAATGTTGTCCATGGGGTCGCGATGGGTCGGACATGACTTTGTGACTAACAACAACAACATGTCTTCCATTACTCATTTTATTTTGAATCACAGGTTTCATTAGCATTTTTAAAATTCTGAAATGTTCATTACCTTACTGTCTTGGCTTCTTCCATGTTTATCTAAACATTTTACACATACAACTAATTTCAATAAACTATAATATCTAGGGGTTTTTTAAGGATGGGATTGGATTGTCTTCCACAATTGCACAAGTATTGTTGTGATTCTGACCCTATATAATGAATGATAATACTATTCAATAGTTATTAATCCTTAAGAGAAAATAGGAAGTAATTTCTTTCTACTTTTATAACCATTTTTCTCAGATCCAAAACACACTTGATCCCTTCCCTTATTTAATATAATTATCCCTTTTTCTCAAAATAAAATTTCTTGCTGTGATTATAGCCAGGTAACATTCCTATGTTTGGTTTTAGTCACTCCCTTTTCTTTAAATACTTGACTTCTTTGTTACTGCATGCTCTGAAGTGCCATCATGTATTGCCACAGGCACAATGGCTGTGTTTTAACTAGCAGTGGAAGCAGTCATCATTAGATTTTAAGTTTAATAACATCACTTTGACATATTACCTGAAGTATGTCCTAATTTTAAATTTGATTAAATTACAAACACCCCATTCAAAATATGATTTAAACTTTCAGCTGAACCTTTCTATGAACTATCCATATAGACAACTCATGCCATGAGTAGCTGTTGATTTATTTATTTTTTTACTATAAACCACTTTTAGCAACCTTCAAAACAGAATTGCAAACCCTTTTATCATTAGTGGATGAGAACCTAATATCGAAGTCTCAAACAATATTTCTCTCATTAATTAATTCTGCTTTACCACTGACTTTAGGGCACAATATAATCCATTATGCACCAGGTGATGAAGGGCAGGTTGTTTACCTGTAAAATTCATGCATATGAGCATTATGCAACAGAAGAGAGTTTAAAGCATTCTAGAGCTAAGCAGAGCTTTTGGGTAGGAGCCTCACCTCACATCTCCTCTGCACACATTCTGGGTATGACTCCTGACCATGTCTCAGTTCCAAATGGTAGGGACACTGGCTGAAGGAAGAAGGCTGGTAATAGCATGCCCTGGCTCAGATGAAAATGGAATATATCTTTAAGGTTGAAGATCAGCTTTATAGAATGTAAGAAAGGGCAGAGGGCACAAAGTTCTCAGGTTTTTTGTGCAGGTGTAATGGTGACCAGGAACACAGTCTTCATTGTTAGGAGTCATAGTTCTACTGTGGCATGCAGGTCAAAGGATTTGGAGATTAACTGATGGAGAACCACAGAAAGACTTTACAGAGGAGCAGGGGCTGTAGCTGGTAGATATGTTAGCAAGGTCCTTGTGAACCTCTCGGGTGCAGGGATGAAAGAACATGGTTATCCAGTAACAGGGCTGTGATAAGCTAAGATTGCTGTTAGATTGATGGAGGGAAGAGGTAAGCCCTTAGTCTTAAGTGGTAGGAAGAATTCCCTTGTAAATTGGAGAAGGCTTGGTGTTATTGCCTTGTAAAAGATTGATTTTTTAAAAATCATTATGCTGCATAAAGGTGGTTGGTGGCAGGTTTTACTAGAGGAGGCAAGGCCTTCTAATAGCTGGAAAGAGGAAGTGTACCCTGGTATAGAATGAGCTCCTCAAAGTGGTGTGCCTTGAGCCTGCTTTGTATTCTTTTCAGTGTCAGATGAAAACCTTTTAATTTTCCCAACATTTTAATAGTTTAACTTTTTAACTTTAATTTTAATATTGCATTTTATCTTGTACCGCTGCTATGCCTCTATGCTTA